CCTGTCCATCCTCACATTTATTCTGTATGAATTCCATAACAGGGGTTCTAAGCCAACATACCTGTGGATAATTAACATGGTGAAAATAGTGGCCCAGAGCAAACACCATTAACGGGTAATTCCCCTTTCACCTCCCCCTGACTGGATGATCCAGCACAAAGTTTACATGAGGAAAAAGACTAGAGACAAAGGGATGTGGGATCAACACACTTAGCTGGGAAAGCCTCCCATCGTCTCCATCTTTTCCTAACGTAATGGACCGGCTGCCTTCAGCCTGTCCCGATAAAACCTCTCAGCCTTCCAAAAGGTTTGAGACTAATCTATAACTTTCCCTAATATTTCACTAATATTGTGCCAGCCACCCCAGATGAATTCCAACAGAGGCTTCCCAGGGGCAGCCCAGCCAGGCCTGCTGCCTCAGAGAAGAGGAAGGGGGAGGGGGATGAAACCAGGAAAAAAAGGGAAATATGCGTAATTTGTAAAATGTTAATGATACAATTAAAAAAGCCATTATTCCTATGGCCTTTGAGTGTCATGTTTGTCACCATCTTTTCTTGCTTTGCTTCTCAAAGATTATCTTCGCCACATGACCTGATCTTTTCTACCTCTGCCACCACCAAATATCAGACACGGGTTTTGTTGGTTACCATCTCTTGAGAACTGAGCATAGAGCGACTGGGCTGGGTGTTGGTGCTGGCCTGCACTGTGGGATGTCCACGGGCACAGCTCTCTCCCAGACACTAGAACCTGGGACTCACCTCTCCCAGAGTGTGCCAGGTGGGGTTGTGAGTGGACCTCTCCCATCTGCACTGCACTCCCAAGTCTAGTAGCAGCAACTTGGCGTTTCTGCCCCTCCGCTTACTCCTGGTTTAATGACACTCCTGTGGTTGTGGAACTTCACATATCTGCCTCAGTGTGGAGCAGTTGTAGCAAACTCAGCCCCTTCCATGATGACCTCTGGAGCTGGGACGGCCCCTCCAAGTCCTGACCTGGGTGAGAGGCCAGGGCCTCATCACTGCACACAGCTCAGCCATGGAGTGCCGGCGGTCCCTGGAAGCGCAATTGAGTGACCCCTTATCCAATTTCAAGACCCATCAGGCATCTCCGATGACACTGGTTGACCAGTAATATTCAGGCATTTGGGAAAGCACACACCGGCCTGAAGAGGCATTGAGATGGACACCATCAAGTCCGCTAATGTCCACCCCATGCACTGTTTAGACACACTCATTTCATGGGGCAGTTTCTCCAGGAATCTGTTTGGCCTTTTTCCCCAGAAAAAAAATGTCGAGCTCATCAGTGGAAGGAGCCATAGAACCTGATGGTCTCCTGTGGTAACTGAGGCTGGCTGTCCTCCTCCTCCACTGCCCTTCCAGCTGCCCCAGCCAGACACTGAATGTGTGTCCACAAAGCCATGTGTGGATATCCATGCCCCAGTGCAATGGCCTCAGGAAGCATAGTCTCTATGCAGTGATTAGGTCTTAAGGGCTGAGGCGTAACGAAGGAGCCTCCCATAACTTCTCCCACCCCCACTCTGCAAGGACGCAGCAGAAAGACAGCCTCCCACAAAGGAGGGGGCAGGCCCCCCCCAGGCATCACCTCCCCAGCGCCTCCATGTTGGACTTCCCAGCTCCCGGAACAGTGAGAAGTAAATTTCCGTTGCGTGTCACCTAGTTTACAGGACTTTACCACAGTGCATTGCACGGGCCATCTGCATCATGTGAAGAGGCTCGCTGTGCCACGGAACACAACACTGGCCTCCTGCTCAGGCTGGGCCCCATGACAACAGGGCAGCCTTGTCACCAAGCAGGGAGCCTAAAATCCGATGGGGACCCTTGGGCCCCAGTTGCTGGTGTCACCTATGAGACCCTGGGCGAAGAGATTAGACTGGGCTTCTGATGGATGCAGCGGGCAGAGTGCTGGTGATGATGGCCCCAGCACTGCAGCCACAGGAGTATGAGCAGCCCTCCAGGAGCCGTGGACAGTGACGCTTCCTGAGTCACCACAGCCTGGGAGGCGGCTCCTGAAAACAGATGACCAAAAGGTCTGGAGGGGAGATGGGGAAGGAAGGCTCTGTGTTGCCTGCCCTCCACCAGCGCAGAAGCTCCCCTGAGCAGCACAGGCAGCCAGGACAGTGAGCAGGAGGTGCCCAGCCTTAGTGTAGGCGGCCCAATGCGGTGCTGTTCTAGACCCGCTCCCGCAGGGCCAGCCCCAGCGCCTGGGTCACACCGGAGCCCTGTGGGATGGAGCTCAGACAGAGCAACTCCTTTCCAGGGGACTCATGGGACAGTCACTACTACCGAGTAGCTGCATATCAGCCACTGTGGACTCATGGTACCTGGGCCTGGAGGAGCCTTCCCACTGTCCTTGATCTGAAGAGCCCGGCCCAAGGTGCCCACTGTCCCAGAGGCATAGGGTGATGCCCTTGCTCCTGCAGGCCTTTCCTGTTCCCAGTGAGCACCGCACAGGCCAGCGTGGAGGACGCAGGAAGAAGAGCAGCAGCAACGCTGGCAAAACCATGGGGCACTGCTCAGGGAGACGTGTGAAGGGCATCACACAGCCCCTTGGCCAGAGAATCTGTGCAGATGCCTGCTCAGCATATAACACGTATAGAGCATCATGAGTCTCAAATGGAAAATTAAGTCGCCATGCTGTCTCATTACGCAAACACAGTGATGGCACAGAGGGAGTCGAGCGTGAAGATCTCTTGATGGGACGTGAACAAGTGCACATCTGAGACCTGCTGCCAGGAGCACAGCCGCTCTGCAGATGCTTGCTCACTCTTCCCAAAGCTCACACAGACTCTGTCCGAAGGTATTTCATTCTAGCCTTAGTGAAGTGCCCGAGAGAAACAAAACTGTGTGTCCACATAATGGTTTCCAGAGGAAGGGACATTGCAGGATTGTTCATAATGGATTAAGCTGGACACAACCCAAGTGATGGCCAGTAGGGGAATAGATTAAAATACCTCTATCCAGTGCAGCCCTGGGCAACATAAACACACAACACCACGAGTGAATTTCAAAGCTGCTGTGTTGAGGGCTAGAAGGTCGGTAAGACAGAGGACGTGTTACATGTTTCTACAAGATGAAATCCTACACAAGAGAAACCTCATCTGTAGCGACAGAAAGCAAATTCCTGGCACTTGGAGCCAGGGTTGGTGGGATAGTCTGTACGTTCATTGTGGAGCAGTTAAGAGATTTTCCCTCTTTGTCTCTCTCTACACACACACACACACACACACTCACACACACACACACTCACACACACACACTCACACACACACACACACAGAGTCACTCACACACATTTGTTTATCCATTTCCACATATTAGTCATTTCTCACAAGCTGTGCTCTTAATATAAACACATATGATTTCATATGAAGCTACTTCAATAACGCTGATTTCAACACAGAACTACTGTGCTATTTGCATCGAAGCAGCCAAAGGCCGAGTCATGGAGAGGTGGAGAAAAGAGGGAACTGCATTCTTAGGACTGTCAGGCCTTGTACCCTGGGTTGGGGTGGAAGAACTCAGCAGAGGAGCAGCCTGGCTGGAGTGGGGGACAGCCCTGACCCTGACAGCACAGGTGAATTTAGGGCTTCCTTTCCCATGTTCTCGAGCGCTGTGTGATCAGCACTGAGGCTGCTGTCCCATGTCAGTGTCATCATCAGCCTCCTGTACTTACTGGAGCCCAGGGAAGCTCTGGGAGGCTGAGCTGCTGACTGGAGCCGAGACCTGCCCTGGGATTCAGAGCAGGCTCGTCCCAGCAGAGCAGATGTTGAGGCATCTCCCGGCTGTCCTGGCAGCAGGACCCCGGTTACCCCCGATGTTGCTGGTGTTCCCTGTGGGTGGAGATTCTGCCTCCTGGAGGCTCAACTCTGAGGACCGCTGGGTCAGCACAGGCTGAGACCTGACTTCTGGAGGGACAGAGAAGCTGGAACCCGCAGAGTCCAGGACAGTGTGTGCTCAGAGAGGAGAGAGGGGTGTGTGGGGGTGAGAGAGGGAGAGAGGAATGACCATGCCCTGTGGCCTCAGGGAGCCGTTCCCTCCAAGACAAAGTGTGAGTGACCTCCAGTCCTCCCAGCACCTTCCCACACCCAGAGGGCAGCTCTCCATGCACATCCATCTCTGGGCTGGTTCTTCTCTGTGAGACCTGTCTCGGAGTAGTTTGTTTTCGGTAGGAAGGAGGAATGTAGAACAGATGAACCAATGTTACCAATTCCCCTTCCTCAGAGTGCCAGGTCCCACAGAGTGCCAGACACCATCCGCTGTCTTACCTGCAGGTCTGGGCTGCAGGCACAAAACCCACAGCTGTGGGGACTTCGGGTCTCAGGAAGCCCAGGCAGCGGGGACCTCACAGACCCACCTTCCTGCTCCCAGCACCACAGCCATTCCCACCATGCCCTGCCATCACCAGCTGTCTCTCAGCAGGTGACCAGGAGAGTTTCTCTACTTTTATATTGTAAAAGGGCTCATGCAAGGGACTTCAGGGGCCTGTGCCAAATGGTTTGTGTGGCTGAGGTGCTGTCCTGGGAGTTCTAGGAAAACTAATTGTGGAGCTAAAATGCACAGCGCCCTGCAGTGAGAGACGCTGCCCACCCTCCATCTGCTGAGACTTCACTTCTCACCTTCTGTAGGGCCTGAGGCAACTCCCAGGGAAATTAGTTCATTGGAAAGGAGACAAAAAGAAAGAAAAAAGAAAAATAATAAAGAAGAAATGCATCAACAGCCTCCATTTGCAAACACTCTCGGGCTGGAGGAACACAGCATTTATAAGAAATCAGAAGGAATTTACTGTCTTATTAAAGAGATTGGCCAAGGATGTGGAGCAGAGAGCCCGGCCATGGGGCTGGGAGGAGGAGTCAGGCTGTGAAGGGCCATGTGCTGCTCTGATGTCTGGAAATCATCCTCCTTAGAAAGGAGTCCCTGGAGAAGGGAACCCACAGCAGGAACAGGGGCAAGTGGAGCTGGGTTAAGATCTGAGAGCCTTAGGAGAGAGCGAGAGGCCTGAGGAAGGCAGCGGCCATGGAGAGAAGAGGAGGGTGAGTCCGGGGGTTGTTAGCAGTGAGGGTGGTTATTGGCCTTGTCCCCCTCACATGTCGTCTGGCTGGGACAGAGGAGAGTGTGTCCATGTGCAGGGTGAGTGCCAACGCGTCAGCCCTGGACACATCACTGGACACACCAGGCTCACTGTACGGAATCAGATGCTCAAGTGCATGTGCGGATGGATGTGGCTGTACTGATCGGAATTTCCAGGCACAGAAAACAGTTCTGACTCCTACTAATTTAGTCCAGAGCCTAGGGGGCTGGGCATTGGGCTGGGTTGTCTGGTCCGTCTGTGCGTTCCTCAGATGCCCGAGGCTGCCTTGTGATCAGGCACCATCTGTTTGCCTGTCTGTCTTCTGCTCATGGGCATGTCTCACTGAGGCAGGCGGCTCCTCAGGGGCTCCACAGAAGCCTCTCAGTGGAAAGACACCCGCAGCCAAGGTCTCTGGACCTGTAACAGGATCGGCCACGAGAAACAGAGCTCCCGAACGCCGAATGGGAAAGGAAAGTGTTTTTATTACAGCCGGGGGTCCAAATTCAGCTCATCTGACAAAGGAAGTTTCTGCCTTTAGATAGGCTTATACTTTAGATATTACACATGGAAGAATCTTAGGTTTATAGCTTTAGAAATCACATATGAGAGGGGTCTTGGTTTACAGCTTCAGGAATCACATATGAAAGCATTCCAGTTTACAGTGTTAGGACTCACACATGAAAAGGTTTCTGGTTTGATCTTGTTTTAAGTAAAAATAGTGCCTTCCAGAGAGTTTCCACAAGACCCAGCCTGCCACCTACAGGAAGGTGAAACAGGAGGTGACAGTCTTTCAGCCTTTTCTTCTATTGAACTACAGTGTGATAGTCAATTGGAAGTTGATCTGAGATGCCTGGGTCTCCCTCTTCAGGGCCAGGGGTTTTGTCTTACACGCCTTTTATCTGAACACGGCGAGGAGCTAAAGCAGCTTCCACCGCCAAGAGCAGTAGCGCAGTGAAAATCAAACTCAGCCAGAGCCCTGGTGAGCGCCTGAGTCTGGGTCGTATCTCAGGAGAAACCAAGGATGTGTCCCAGCATGTCATATAGTCACCAGCACGGAAGCCACTGCTCAGGGTGCAGGTGAGCAGATGCCGTGGGGACGCACAGACAGGGAGCAGCCGCATCAGCACAGGGTGCAGGTGAGCCTGAGACACCCCCGGGGATGCACAGGTGGGGAGCAGCCGCATCAGCACAGGGTGCAGGTGAGTCTGAGACGCCGCTGCCTACACACAGGTGGGGAGTAGCCGAGTCAGCACCGGGTGCAGGTGAGCCTGAGACACCCCGGGGAACGCACAGGCGGGGAGTGGCCGCATCAGCGCAGGGTGCAGGTGAGCCTGAGATACTCCCGGAGACTCACAGGTGGGGAGTGAAAAGTCAGCCCAGGGTGCAGGTGAGCAGATGCCCCCAGGGATGAAGAGGTGGGGAGTGGTCCAGTCAGCTCAGGCCAGGAAAGGAAGCCTGCAGGCGCAGACAGGTGAGTGTGGGCACCCACTACTGTAAGGCTCACGGGGTCTGAGGCGCAGGAGCCGACACAAGCTGGGAACTGAAACCTGGTCTCCAAGGCCTGCCCCGACCTGTGCAGTGAGCGAGGAGCACGAGGAGAGCAGCCCAGGCCCGTGGACTCAGCCCCTGACCCCGCCGTTGGGCGGGAATGCCCAGGCCTCCTTTCTTTCCACCCTTTCCAGAGGAGGGGCTGCTTCTGCAGATGCGTTTCTGTCTGGGACTGCCCAGCCTGCAAGGCTTCTTTGGCTCTGGCTAGCTCCTGCTCCTTCTGGGCCGGCTGGACCCTGAGCTCGGTGGCCAAGAGGACCTCGGAGGACTGGCCGCCCTGTGACTCCTCCAGGTCCTTTGCCAACATCTGCCGGAGAAAGTGAACTTCCTCCTGGAGCAGCGACCCCTATTCCCGCTGGAGCACCGGGTGGCTACAGTCGCCATCGCCTCGGACCGGGGCGCCCTGGCACGGGGCCGATCGCCGGGACCCGCCACGTCCACGCACGGCTCGCAGGCTGCAGGTCCCGGGGGACGCGCGGGCCCGGACCCCGCTCCACAGGAAAGCGCCGGCTCGCCCCGCGCTGCCAGCTGGCAGACGCGCTCCCACGAGCCCGAGTCGGCCGCCGAGTACCTAGGCGGCGCGGGAGGCTTCGACGGCGCGCGCGTGGCTCACAGCCCCAGGGGTCACCGCCGCATCGGGGAGCAGCCGAGCGCCGCCCCGGCGCCCCGGACCAGGGCTCTCCGTCTGGCCGGACGCCGGGCGGTCAGCGGCCGCCGCACGCGAGGAATTCGGCGGCCGGAGTTTTTATTTTTAATTTACCTGTTGATTTTTTTTTCTTTTTTTCCAGCTAGGTCACCGCCTCCTTTGTGACACTAGATGGCGGCATAAGCCAGGTTTGCCTTGGTGTAGAAAGCAGTTGAGTGCCACCCGTTGGGACGAGATCTCAAAGGGGACATTCCGGACTGTGGGAAGGATGGTTAGGAGATGTGCCCAGGGGACCTCTGAAACAAACCTACCACGTGCTGCTTCTGAACAGCCACGCTGATCCAGTGTCTGCTTCAGCCAAGTTAGAGCAAAGGGTTCAGGGCTGGAGACGATCCTGCCTTCCCCTCTGCCTCTGGCTGTCCTCTGGGATATTATTTCTACTTTCAGGCACATTAGATGCTTTCTGTGGGTTGAGTCAGGGACAGGTCTCCTTTCAGTGAACCCACGATGGTGGAGAAGCTGGTTGGCCATCTCGATCTCATTTTTCCAGTGCAGAATGCATGAGTCAGGGAGTTTTCTGTATGCTTGAGTGGGGCGGATTTGAGGGAGGGGCATCATGGAGATAGAAGTCTGAGTCTAAGCAGGGAGCAGTGGCTCACGCCTATAATCCCAGCACTTTGGGAGGCTTTGGTGGGTGGCTCACTTGAGATCAAGAGTTTGAGACCAGCCTGGCCAATGTGGTGAAACCCCCTCTCTACTAAAAATACAAAAAGTACCCAGGTGTGGTGGCGTGCACTTGTAATCTCAACTACTCAGGAGGCTGAGGCAGGAGAATTGCATGAACCAGGGAAGCATAGGTTGCAATGAGCCATTGCACTGCAGCCTGGGCGATAGAGCGAGACAACTCTGTCTCAAAAAAAAAAAAAAAAAAAAAAAAAAAAAAAAAAAAAAAAAAAAAAAAAAAAAAAAAACCAACAAAAAAATGGCCGGGCCCCGTGGCTTCCACCTGTAAACCCAGCACTTTGGGAGGCCAAGGAGAGTGGATCACGAGGTCAAGAGATATGGAGACCATCCTGGCCAACGTGGTGAAACCCCATCTCTACTAAAAATACAAAAGTTAGCCAAGCGTGATGGTGGGCACCTCTAGTCCCAGCTACTCGGGAGGCTGAGGCAAAAGAATTGCTTGAAGCTGGGAGGCAGAGGTTGCAGTGAGCTGAGATCGCACCACTGCACTCTAGCCTGGCAACAGACCAATACTCCGTCTGGAAAGAAAAAAAAAAAAAAAAAAAGAAGCTTCTTTAAGTGTGATTCTCTTGACATCTTCTGAAGTTTTTTCATCTGTGACCCCAGGGACTGTCTCATCCTCATATTTGAGTGCTGGGACAAGGCTGGTGAGGATCTCGGGCTGTGTGTTTCTTTCTGGTTTTCCGCCGGGTAAGTAAAGCCAGCTTACTTCCGCAGCACCCTAGTGAAATTTTGATTGAGAAATACTCTGCATATGATTGTATATGTTACTTCCTTCTCAGTGATCATTAGTCTCTAGCCATGTGATTGACAAGGACTTTCTCATCGTTCTGTACCCCTCACCACCTCATTCTCTCTTCCTCCCATAAATAGGAATGAAAATTCTGAGCCTCTCATTCTATGGACTCATCTCACATTATTTCTCCCAACATTATTTCTAGTCCGTCACCTACAACCCTCTTTTCTTTTTCTTCAAATCTCAATGTACTTTTTCTTTTTTTTTTCTTTTTTCTTTTTTTTTGTTTTGAGATGGAGTCTCACTCTGTTGCCCAGGCTGGAGAATAGTGGCACAATCTCAGCTCACTGCAACCTCTCCTGGGTTCAAGCGATTCTCCTGCGTCAGCCTGCCGAGTAGCTGGGATTACAGGCACCCACCACCAAGCCTGGCTAATTTCTGTATTTTTAGTAGAGACAGGCTTTTGCCATGTTGGCCTGGATGGTCTCGAACTCCTGATCTCAGTGATCCATCCACCTCAGCCTCCCAAAGTGCTGGGATTACAGGCATGAGTCACCACGCCTGACCAATGTACCCTTTTAAAAATATATTAATTTAGGGCAGGTGTAGTGGCTCATGCCTGTAATCCCAGCACTTTGGGAGACCGAAGTGGGCAGATCATGAGGTCAGAAGTTCATGGCCAGCCTGGTCAACATGGTGAAACCCTACCTCTACTAGAAATACAAAAATTAGCTGGGCGTGGTGGTGGGTGCCTGTAATCCCAGCTACTGGGGAAGTTGAGGCAGGAGAATCGCTTGAACCCAGGAGGCGGAGGTTGCAGTGATCCGAGATTATGCCACTGTACTCCACTCTGGGTGACAGAGCAAGATTCTGTCTCAAAATACATATATATGTATGTAAATTTAATTGCTATTCCTGCATGTAATTATTCTCACTCTGGCTTCATGTAACAGGAACACCCCTGGCCTGAGAGCTAAAAATTTCTAACTTCTTTACCAAGCACACCGCCTGGCTGTCTTTACCCTGGGCTCTGCCACTAACTACCTGGATAGCCTCAGTCACATAATTTCTCTATCAGGGCCTCAGTGTTGTGGCTTGGCTGCGTGGTGGTTGTGGTTAGGGTTAGTTTTGTCAATGCCAAAACTCTTTCAAAAAGTTGATGAGATTTATGAACTCTTTTCCAGAGAAAAAGCACACTCAAATAAACATTTTTCAAATGATTTCCAAGTGTTTACAAACTTCCTAGATTTTGTCTATGAACTTCAGTTTAACATTCCTTGGACTGGCTCCCCAACCTTTTCTTTAAATAGCTCTCTCTGGCTCTAACTCTAAATCCTCTTAGAAATAAAAATAGAAAAGGAACAATTTTTCCGGGCTTGGTGGCGTGTGCCTGTAGTCCCAGCTACTCAGGAGACTGAGACTGGAGGATCTCTTGAGCCCAGGAGTTCTGGGCTGTAGTGCATTATGCCGACCTGGGGTCCACACTAAGTTTGGCATCAATATGGTGACCTCCCGGG